ATGGTCAGACATCTGGTGAGATACCCAGGACAGCCTTATCAGGCTGCGGGACAGGGGATTTATGGTCAAGACATCTGGCCTAGGTGGAAACAAAGACTTCAAAAGACTGACCATATATGCTTGAGATAGGGACAAGTCAGTTATCTGGTTTCTTTGGTCCAGGCCAAGGACCACGAGGCCTGCCCTCAAATTCACCCCTCGCCTCATTCAAACTGACCAATGGGACTCCTGTAACCGTGCTTTTGCTTCTGTAACATTGCTTCTGCCTATATAAAGATACCCCAAGACGTAGCTCGGGGTGCTCAGTTCTCCATGTGACTGCAGCACCCACAGGCCTGTGAACATTAAAGTTTGCCTCTTGTTCTTGCATCCAGTGGCTCTCAGACCTGGTTCTTGGGCACAGGTCTCCACGCGTGTGAGACACCCTCTGGGTGCTCTTTCAATCCATCGACAGCAGAGCTCCAGAAGGTACCTGCACCATCTTCTTGACCAATTCAGGTGGTAGAACTCAAATTTTAACCCTCTCTTTACTACTTCATTGCATGATACAATGCAGGGAGCTTCCAAGACTCAGTTTCCCCTTTGGCATAACAGAGTCAAACACAAGTGGTGTGTGTGTGTGTGTGAGAACAGGGTTCTATGAACCACCAGACGTCACAGTCATTACAGCTGATCGGACTGAGAATGCAGTTCAGTTCAGTTTGGTTGAGCCCCTAGGTTCAAGCCCCAGTACGGCATAAATTGAGGGAGCTGCCTAAAATCCTGGCACACTGGAGGTAGAGGACCAGGTCAGACTCACTTTGGTTACAGAGTGAGTCCAGGTCAGCCTGGGCTACATAATTTGGTCTTTAAAAGCAGGAGGGGGGAGGCTCTCAAGGCCCTCCCCCTCCCTGAGGAGCTACTTGTAGGGTAAAAGGGCCAGCAAAGAAACCCACCCTGACTGAAACCAGAGCCAGTGAAAGGAACCCACCCCAACCATAAAACCAGAACTAAAGAAACACACCTTGACCCTGAAATCAGAGCCAAAAGGCTAAAGGGGGTCAGTGAAAGAAACACAGTTTGGCCCTGAAACAAGAGCCAAATCTGCCTCTGACCAACTGAGCATGAAACCAACCAATCCCTGAGCAGGAAAACCAACCAATCCCTGAGCACGAAATCTAGCCAATCTGAGGTTTTCCAAGCTCAAGAGAATTGAAATCTGACCATTTCCCGCCCTGAAGATTCTCCCCCCCTGGAAAAACTCCGCCCCTAAGAAGCTCTATATAAGCCCTGTGCCTGTTCAGATTGTTGCTGCCTTTTCCACCATAGCAAAAACAGATTTTCCTAGACTCTTCCTTCCTAATAAATCTCTTGAATGAGGTTTGGGTGAGAAGTAGAGAAGTAACTTTTCACAGGAGCTGGAGCAGAGCAGAGCTGAGCAGGACTGGAACAGCTTTGCTGGGGAAACCCTCCCCTGCAGGGCCAGAGCTGTTACACGGGGGAAATCTTTCCCTGGGGCAGGGCTGTAAGCTACTGCCTTTGCAATGACTTTGTGATACTCCTGACCTCCAGGATCCCTTTCCATCCAAGCTGTAATGCTTACACTACTGGCAGTCAATGATTGCTGGAAGAGGAAGTGAAAACATTTTCTTCAGTGGTGTAGCTACTGATAAAGAGCCCGTGCTCCATAAATAGCCATCGCCCTGCTCCTGAAAGCAATTTTAATGAAACTCACAGGGTCACAAAAAGAAAAGAAAAGAAGAAAGAGAAAGAAATAAAGAAGGAAGGAAGGAAGAAAAGAAAGAAAGGAAGAAGGAAGGAAGCAGAAGGGAAACTGAGATGGGAAGACCAGAGTCTACACGACACGAGTCTTCAAGATGCCCGACAGTAAAGGCACGTGTGTATACACTTACACATACTCTCTCACAAATTAATAGCAAATAGCGTCTAAAAATAAAAAGGAGTAATAAGATGGCTCAGATGGTAAAGGTGCTTGCTGTTAAACCTAATAACCCAAATTCAAAGCCCAGGACCCACAGGTAGGAGACGACTCCTTTAAGTTGTCGTTCGTCCTCCATAGTGTGGCACACACATGCCCCTCGTCCACACTCAAACAAATAAACAGATGTAATTTACTTTAGAAAAATAAATAAGTGAAAAGAGAGAGAGTAGAAGGAAAGAAACTGAAGCCTGGGCAAGAATACTCCTGAGGAGGTAGTCTGTTTAGCCGCAGAGGGCGCGCTGAAACTACAACTCCCGGCTTCCTTTGGACCGGTAATGGCGGATGGCCCCACGGAATTGGTCCTTTCTCCATGGGGCGGGGCTTGACGAGAGGCCAGCTTTCCACTGTTGCCAGGAGAGACAGCCGCAGGGAGGCGGAAATTGCCGAGGCGGGCGGCGAGTGCCGAGGCGGCGCGCGGGACGGTCTGGCGGCCATGGCGGCCCCGGGACCCGCGAGTCGCTTCTGGTGCTCGTGTCCCGAGGTGCCCTCCGCCACATTCTTCACCGCCCTGCTCTCGCTGCTGGTGTCGGGGCCCCGCTTGTTCCTGCTGCAGCCACCTCTGGCACCGTCGGGGCTATCGCTGCGCTCCGAGGCCCTGCGCAACTGGCAAGGTGAGCAGCGACTGGGCAGGGATGACGCGCTTCCTCAGCCCGGGGACTTCATCGAATTCCTCACTGCCAGGCAGTCCCCAGCCTCAGTGCCCATCACTGTTCAACCCACTTGGGACTCCAGCATGTCTTGTCCAAAGCCTCATCATCATTTTCGCCAATTCCTTTCCTACCCAAAACTGCCCCTTGCATGTCACCCTAGATTCATTCATTCTCTGATCTCGAGGATGAATACTTTCCTTCGCTCCTCCGGTTTTATAAATACAGACCCCCATCTGCTGAAGGCCTGAACCCCTCAGGAACAAAACAAACGTCTCTCACCTTCATCGTGACAGTTGAACTTCGTCTCTTGTCACCCCTATGAATGGTTTTTCCTCCTGAGTCTAGAATTTTCTGCTGCGTATTTACTTTAATCCTGACTCTTAATTCCAGCTCACCGGAAGGAGGAAAGAGGCCGTCTTCTGCCCCTGGTAAAGTGCTTGTTTTCTCAGGGCAGAGAAATTTCTCAGACCAATTAAGTCTATAATCATCCTTTTTTCTAAAAGACAGGATTCCTAGTCTTTGTTTCTTTCTCATTCTTTCCTGGAAAATCCCGGTTGCTCCCAATGTAGCAGAAGCCTGTGCGTTCATCTCATGTACTCCATGTAATCCTCACAATGATTTTATGACAGGACATATTAAATTGCCTGTTTACCAGAAACTGAGGCTAAATACGGAGAATCCCAGAGCTAATGCATCATAGTATTGAGAAAGGAACCCAGCCTTTTGCTTTTAGTATGCTGTTTCAGAACTAAGGTTTGGGTAGATAATTCTCACGTCCTTATATAGATATAAACATCTGTGAGTCATTTAATTTGGGATCTGTGGGGTGATGGCACACGCCTTTAGTCTCAGCACTCGGAAGGCAGAGGCAGGCAAATCTGTGAGATCAAGGACAACCAGGACTGCACAGAGCAACCCTGTCTTGAGAAACAAGACTTCAATATGGGAAGTATCCAGCAAATAACGAAGGCTTCGAGAGATAGTCTAAGTAAGTGTTATGCTTAAAGCTGAAACTTCCCTTTGCGCTGGATACGTAAAGCATACGTAGCCCTTCTTTCAGTGAGCTGAAAGCCAGTCCAGATAAGGCACATACCCTCTTTCTTTTCTTTTCTTTTTCCTTTGAAACAGAGTCTTGCCATTTCTTTAGACCAGAATAACCAGAACTTACCATGTAACCCAGTCTGGCCTCAAGGCAATGATCCTCCTGCCTCAGCCTTCTGAGTACCAGGACAAAGACATCCTATGCTTACTTAACCCTATTTGTGTGGGTATGGGGTTCATGAACAGTTAGAGATATGGGACTCTATATATCGAAGGACTCGGGTTTGACCTGTTCTATCACAGTGAGGAAATTCAAGCTGTGAGGATATGGACTTTGGACTCAACTGAGCCCAGGCAACCTGGTTATGATAAAGCTAAGATCCCCTCCAAGTCTTAACACTCCTAAGAATGGCACTGTTGTTTGACCCACCTCTCTCATGTTAAGGTTTCACCCCACAGAGATAGGTAAGTACATTAGAGAGCCAGATGTGGTGGTGCACGCCTTTAACCCCAGCCCTGGGCAGGCAGAGGCAGGTAGGTGTATCTCTGAGTTTGAGGCTAGCTAGGGTTACATAGTGAATCCCTCTCTCAAATAATAAAGTACATTAGAGCTCTGTGAAGTAGCTCCGCAGGTAAAGGCACTTGCCACCAATCGTGATAACTGCAGTTTGATCCCCGGTAGAACTGACTCCTGCAGGTTTTCCTCCGAACTCCACAGGGGGACCATGGCATTCCCATGCACTCCCATATACCCACAAATAAATAAAAGATTAAGTTTTAAAAAATTGTGTATGTTAGCGATAACTTATGTTTAGAAAAAAAATAAAGGGAATAAACCAAATGGGATGGCAGGCACTTGTAGTCCCAGCACTCAGAGGCTGAGACAGAAAGATGGCAAGTTGCTGACCAGCAAAATAATAATAATAATAATAATAATAATACCAAGTGTGGTGACTTACACCTATAATCCCAGCCCTCAGGAAACAGGAGCCGGCCTGGTCTACATAGCAAGGTATAGGCCAGCCAGAGCTGCAGAGTGAGACCTTGTCTCACAACAGAGAAAGAAAAAAGGACGTTGCATCTTATGGCATATAAATCTTGGCTCTTAGAGAAGACTTCTCATTTCTGTATATTATTAATGATACCGTTACAGTCCTTCTAAACCACAAAATAATTCATGATTCCTTTTTTCTTCCCCTGAACAGCCTCTGTGGAAGGAGAGGCCAGAATCACAGATGAGGAGACGGGGCACACACTGTTAAGTGACACCCACTGAACAGCCTCTGTGGAAGGAGAGGCCAGAATCACAGATGAGGAGACGGGGCACACACTGTTAAGTGACACCCACTCAGTCACCCCTGAAGCTGTTCCAATTAATTAACCCTCAGACTGCCCGGTGAGGTAGGTCAGTAGTAAAGTCTGAAATCGGAGGGCTGGAGAGATGGCTTAGCAGTTCAGAGAGCTTGCTTCAGCCCGGCAGTGCGGGCACATGCCTTTAATCCCAGCACTCAGGAGGTAGAGGCAGGTGGATCTCTGTGTGTTCAGGGCCAGCCTGGTCTGCAAAGCTAGTTCCAGGACAGGCTCCAAAGCTACAGAGAAACCCTGTCTTGAAAAATCAAAAAGAGAGAGAGAGAGCTTGCTGCACTTGCAGAGGAGCCAAGTCTGGTTCCCAGCACTCCACATGGGGCAGCTCACAACTGCCTGTACCTCCAGCTCCAGGGCTCCAACACCCTCTACTGACCTCCACAGGTACCTGCACACAGGTGGCATATGCAGATTCACAAAAATAAAAATAAATCTTTGGAAGAAAGCCTAAAGCAATGTTATAAAGAGTTCAACGAGTTCAGGAAAGGCTGTCTTTTTTACACATTGAAGTTGGTCTTGACAATCTTTGCTCCAGGGCCAAGAAAGAATGGAAGCTACATTATATGTTCATGTTTTGAATCACGAGAATTGCTCCTGCTAAGCCCAGCTCTAGGACCAGAAGGAACGGAGGTTATATGATATGCTTACGCCTTGAACGGCAGGCACTACTGTCACTTTCCTGTTCTGTTTTTTGTTGTTTTATTGTTGAGACAGGCTCCCATGTAGATCATGCTGGCTTCAGACTCACAGAGGCGCCGAGAATGACCCTGAACTCCTGATCTTCCTGTCTCTACCTCCTGAGTGCTGGGCTCCTAGGTGTGCACCACCACTTCCTATGTGTGGTATATGTGGTGCTAGGAATGGAACCCAGGACTTTGTGCACACTCGGCAAGCACCCTACCTACTGGGTTCCAGCTCCAGCTTCAAGGCTCCCTCCTCAAGCTGGTTTGGGGCCTGGTTGCCCCTCGTTTGAACAGCACTGCATTGGAACGTTAACCCAAACCCATCTTTAGTTTACAGGCTGGTGACTTACATCTTCGTCTACGAGAACCCAGTCTCCCTGCTCTGTGGTGCCATCATCATCTGGCGCTTTGCTGGCAACTTCGAGAGGACCGTGGGCACCGTCCGCCATTGCTTCTTCACCTTCATCTTTACCGTCTTCTCCGCCATCATCTACCTGTCATTCGAGTCGGTGTCATCGCTGTCCAAGCTGGGTGAGGTGGAGGATGCCAGAGGGTTCACCCCCGTGGCTTTTGCCATGCTGGGAGTCACCTCAGTCCGCTCTCGGATGAGGCGGGCCCTCGTGTTTGGCGTGGTGGTGCCTTCCGTCCTGGTGCCGTGGCTGCTGCTGTGTGCCTCCTGGCTCATTCCTCAGACCTCCTTCCTCAGCAATGTCTCTGGCCTTTTGATCGGCCTATCATGTATCCTTCCTGGAAGGGAGCTACAGAGTGAGGCTACACCAGAGTGCAAACTCACTTGGGGGTGTGGGGTGTCAGGTGCACAGTCGCAGGCTCCTACACAAGCAATCTGGTTTTGGAAAACCTGGGAGTCTTGGGCAGTTCTCCCCATCCCTGGATCAGAACTCATCTGGAAAAATTGAGTATGGTTGCCTGCCCAGGTCAACTCACCACAGCCGGTTAGCAGTTTAAGCTTAACTATACGGGCCTGCCTTTTTTCCCTTGGACACTAAGGTGCAGTCTACTCAACTAACTTGAGTGTGAAGTTTCACTGGACGAGGGCCAGGGAGACGGCTTTGTCAGTAAAGCATCCGTGCAAGCGTGAGGACACAAGTCGTGGCCTTGGGACTTCCACTCTGATCCCGTGCTTCGGAGGTGGAGATGGGTCAATCCCTAAGGCTCACTGACCCACCAGCCAAGCCTAGCTTGGTCAATTCCAGATCAATTGAGAGACCCCAGTTCCTGAGACCAGTCTGGCCTCTGATCTTCACACACAGCACTCACACATTGGAGAAGTATGAGATGCCCTCCATGCAGAGATGTTCGTGGACCGGTTAAGAGAGAGACCTGGCCTTGTTGATAGTTTTTCTATTTTTGCTGGGTTAAGAGTATCGAGCTCAGGGCATTGTACATGATTGACAGACGCTCTACCACTGAGATACATCCCAGTCCTTAATTTTCTTTCTTCTCAGAGAGAAAGGGATTGTAACAGGGTCTTGCTATATGGCCCAGGCTAGCCTCAAACTCAAGATCCATCTCAGTTTCCTGAGTGCTAGGATTACTATCACTCACCACCGCACCTGGCTCCACACCCCCGATATCTGTTTCTAGGTGTGCACTTCCTTCCTCCCTTCCTTCTTTCTTTGATTTATTTTTGTCTGTGGGTAAGTCTGTGGATGTGTGCACCTACATGCTGGCACTTGAGGATGCAGAAGAGGTTGTCAAGTCCCCAGGAACTGGAGTTACAAGTGGTGGTGATGCTGGGAACTGAACTTGGGTCCTCTAGAAGAGCAATTTGCTCTCTTAACTATGAAGCCATCTTTATGTCCCCCGCCCTCAAGAGGTGACTCACTGTATAGCCTGGATGGCCTGGAACTCGACCGTGCAGATCAGGCCGGCCTCAAACTCACAGAAATCTTCCTGTCGCCCCCTCCTGAGTGCTGGGATTGAAGGTGTAGGGTGTGTGCCCACACCAGCCTGCCTCTTGTGTATTTTTGAGATCGGGTCAGCACAGTTGGACCTGGAGCTGACTGAGCCGGAAGATGGAAGTCAGTCCTCCAGCTTCAGGAGTATCAGGGGTTAGCGCCTGATTATTACCAAAACCATCCATTTGAGACAGGGCTGAGGATCCAACGTAGGCCCTCTGCTACGTCAGCCTACTCAAGGCCCCACTGAGCTCCATGGCCAACTTTACCCTTCTCTGGCTTTTATAAGGGATTGAGCTCCCTAATTAGGAATACCGAGATCCAGAATACTTCAAAATCTGCAGAGTTTTGAGCATTAACACAACACAAGTGGGATATTCTGCCCTGACCTGACTATAATCGAAGTAAGAACATGGATGCACCCAGAATACTGTGTATAGTCACCTCAGGCTGTGTGAGGTACCCAGGAAACATAAACATGATATTCAGATAACCTTGTAAGCCGTGAGATATTTCACTCAAACTATTTTGGATAAGGAATGTTCAACCTGTACTTACCCTTTGGTGCAGGCATAAACTAGTTGGCTTAATATTTGCTGAAGGGCTAGTAAGATGTCCTGATGGGTAAGTGATTGCTGGCAAACCTGACAGCTTGAGTTCCACCCCTGGGACCTCCGTGGTTGATTTCAAATCCATAAAGTTGTACTTCAACACCCCTCCCCCCGCCACACACACGCTGCATGTACACACATACAGAATATTTGTGTAATAAGTATTTGTTGAAGGGTATATGAAACAGGCTTTGTAGCTATGCAGACAGTGATAAAGACTATATGCGGAAAATGCTTCCAGAGAAGCCGCAATGAAAGTTGCCATGGTGGTGCATGCCCCATAACCCCAGCACTAGGAGTTTGAGGGAGGAAGTGTTTTAAGATCGAGACCAGACCAGGCTATGTACATCTTCCTCCTCCTCAACAAAAAGCCATGTGAAGTTCAGTTGGCACACTGAGGCAGAAAACCTTTGATCTGGAGCAAAAGTCTAGGAGCATGCCGGTCTCTGCTTTGTATTAAGACTGGCTTGTAAACCAGCTGCGGTGGCGGAGCCGATGGTAGTGACAGTGGTGGTGCACGCCTTTAATTCCAGCTCTCAGGAGGCAGAGGCAGGTGGATCTCTGAGTTCAAGATCAGCCTGGTCTACAGAGCTACATAGAGACCCCTGTCTCAAAAAGCCAAAAAGGAAAGAAAAGAATGGTTGTGATTGACGGCCGTGTTTGGAAGGCCCAGGAGGTGCATGTGAACTCTCATGTGCACCACACATGGCATTGTTCCTGTGTATGTGTGAGGTGCGCGGATAGGACTGCTCAGCTCTCTGCAGGGGCTGGGGCCTCAAAGGGCATATCAGCTACCTCTGCCCTGCTGCCTTCAATTTTCCTTAATACACCCACCCCAGACGGCCTCACCTACTGCTACTCCCTTGACCTCTCGGAGCGAGTAGCCCTGAAGCTTGATCAGAAGTTCCCCTTCAGTGTCATGAGGAGGATCCCCCTGTTCAAGTACGTCTCAGGTTCTTCTGCTGAAAGAAGAGCCGCCCAGAGCCGGAAGTAAGTGGGTAATCCCTCGCCTTTGTGTTGTATGGTTGGTTTCGGTGCTGGGTGTGGACCCAAGGCCTTGCCCATGCTAGTCGGTCGCTCTGTCACTGTGTTGCCACCAACTCTGCCTTTGTGGGATTTTTTTGTTTGTTAGTTTGTTTTTTGAGTCATAGAAAGTCAGGGTTGGCTTTGAACTTGGGAGGCTCTTGTCAGTTCCTCTCAGATACCAGGCTGTAGATATTAATCCCACTGCCAGTTTCCAAGAGCAACTGTAGAGCCGGTAAAGGGTGAGGTTCATCTTAGCTGTGTCATCTTGGAGGATAAAGGAAGAGGGGAACACAGTTTCTGAGCTCTATGCAGCTAAGGATTGTAGTTCTGTTTCATCAGTAGAGCCCAGAATCCCCCAGTGAGGGGCTGGGATGTGGCTCAGTGGTAGAGCCCCTGCCTAGAATCCCCCAGTGAGGGGCTGGGCTATGACTCAGGGTAGAACACTTATCTAATCTTGGGAGGCCCTGAGTTCTGCATTGCAAGTAAGGAAAGAAAATCCGTGCACAAATCCCTTCTGCACACTGCTGCGTGTGGAAGGAACCGAGTGTGAGTGGGCAGAACCGGACACTCAAATGCGATTTCAAGTGACTTGTGGAGAGATAATAGTCTTACTGTGACAGTTGCCATGCCTACACAGTCTGCTCAGTAGGTGACAGGGCAGGAAGACCTGAAAGGAGTTTCTTGTCTCCCCCAGAGGACACTTTCTTGGCTCACCAACAAGAACAGGTGAGGTTTTTTTTTTTTTTTTTTCCAGTTCGGGCTCGTTTGTTCTTAAAAACTGCTAGACAAGCGGCTAGAACTATGGGTCTCACACCTTCTTTATGGAGGAGGCCAGAGAGGACATGTGTTCCCAGGTGGCAGTCCAGGGACGAGCCTGCTGTGGCGCCTTTCCCTTAGGACCTCTGCCAGTTGTGTTCTTTCCAGCTGTGTTCCTCAGAGACTCTACAATCCTAGCACAATCACCCGGGAAGGGCATGGTGAGAAGTGAGGAGCCTGCATGGCTGGGGTGCTGTCCCCCCACTCCCAGAGTCTGCAGCAAGCTTTGTTTAGCTGAAGTAGTTAGATTTGGGTTTGGGTTCTGTGCTGTTTAGTGTGTGTGTGTGTGTGTGTCTGTGTGTCCCAAAATGACCCTGAACTTCTGATGCCACGGCCTCCTCTCAGTGCTGGGGATTACAGGCGAGCACCCCACGCCCAGTTTATGTAGTGCTCAGGCCGGAAGCAAGGCTTGGTCCTGCCTGTAATCTCAGCATTTGGGAGGCTGAGACAGGAGGATTTGGAGTTGGAGACCAGTCTGAGCTACAGAATAAAGCCCCACTTCAGCTCACCACATCTGAAGAAGCCAAGGGCTGTGGACAGCTCAGAGATAGTGTGCCTAGCATGCAAGAGTCTCCTAGCAACTTGACAGGCCTGAGAGGTACAAACTAACCCCTCACGGAGTACCCAGTGTGACAGCAGTGGAGTGGGGTCACAAACCCCAACTCACACACTAATGATGAATGGAGCTGCTCTTGGGACCCAGAAAAAGAGTTCTGATCTGAGTTACACTTGCCCACTGGGAAGCTCTGTCACCTGTGCCAGGTTTGGACAGGTGTGGGATGGGTAGGGCTTTGTGTTCCTTCTCTGTTCCTCACGTGGCAGGTGGTTGTGGGTTGCCAAGACTGCAGGTATCAGAACAGAACATGATGTTTCAGGTGTCCTGACAGAGTCACCAAGAGCATTACAGCAAGACACGTGTGTTTATTTTAGTCAGCTGCCATGTGGGTTGTTTTGTCTCTGATTGCTCTTGTTTGGAAAGTTGGTTTGGCATAGAGTTTGGGTGGTTTGTTATAATAAAAATAGAGACAGTTTATTAAAAACAAGAGAAGAGGCCAGCAAGCTAGCTTAGTGGACAAGGACATCTGCCACCAAGTCTGAGGACCAGAGGTGCGTCCCTGGGGACCCTCGGGGTAGAAGAAAAGAACTGGCTCCTGGAAGTTCTCTGACACACACACACACACATACACACACCAGCCACACCTACATATACCTACCACACACACACACACACACATACACACACCAGCCACACCTACATATACCTACCACACACACACACACACACGCAATTACACACACCAGCCACGCCTACATATACTTACCACACACACACATACACAAACCACACACATACCACACACACATAAATGGAAAATCATTTTAACAAGAAGATAATGTAATGTACATCTTGAATTCCCAGCACGAGGGAGACAGGAACAGGCAAAACCCTATGAGTGTGAGACCAGCCTGTTTTACATAGAGAGTTCTAGGCTGGCCAAGACTTTAGTGAGATCCTGTCTCAAAATAAATAAATAAAGAAAGAAAGAAAGGAAGGAAGGAAGGAAGGAAGGAAGGAAGGAAGGAAGGAAAGGAAGAAAGGAAGAAAGGAAGAAAGGAAGAAAGGAAGAAAGGAAGAAAGGAAGAAAGGAAAATGCTCCCAGAGGCAGGAGTGGAGTCGTGAGCTGGGGCTGGAATCCGGGCTTGCTTGGCACATACTAAGCAGGTGCGCCACTGAGCCACAGCCCAGCCCAGCCCAGCCCTGTATTTTCTTGTGTGTTTACCGATCTAGTTGGTGGCATGGGACCTAAAAATGAGGGGGACTAAAGTCTTGCGCAATAGCCAGCTTTATTAGAGCAACAGACAGTTTATACCCTACGGTTAGGACGCGTCACGTGAATAAGGTGTTCCTCAGTCACGAGGACAAGCCGCCCACAGTATAGAAGCACATGATTAGCAACAGCTGACGTGAGCTCACTCACAGCCCTACACCTGGGAGAGCGTGCAGACACATTCCAAGAACAGCTCTGTTTGGAAGACACTGAGGGCGCAAGACTCTTCTTTTTCAGAGTTTTCTCCCAAGCACTCAGAACGCTCATGCGACTCCATTCCCAGACTGTGTTTCCACGTGTACAGTCTTACCGAGTCCACATGAACCCCTAGATTTGATCCTGAGCACTGGGGGGGTGGGGGCGTGGTGGCTCCTGCCTGTAACCCAAATGTTCAAGGTCATTCTTAGCTACATCGAGGAAGCCTGAGCTACTCGAAGCTCTGCCCCGTTCCCCTCCAAATGGATCTCTCTCTTCCCCTGAAACTTAGTGCTGGCTATGACTCCATCCCTGCTCTTACCTCAGGAAATGACGTGGTGTGCCTTGTCACTGCAACAGAATGATTGTCTCCTCTCTTATTCCTTTCCAGGCTGAACCCTGCACCTGGCTCCTACCCCACACAGAGTTGCCACCCTCATCTAACTCCAAGTCACCCTGTCACCCAGATGCAGCATGCGAGTGGCCAGAAACTGGCCTCCTGGCCTCCCGGACACATGCCCAGCCTCCCTCCATACCAGCCTGCTTCTGGCCTGTGTTATGTGCAGAACCACTTTGGTCCTAACTCCAGTGCCTCCAGTGTGTACCCAGCTTCTGCAGGGACCTCCCAGGGTGTACAGCCTCCCTCCCCTATCAGCTGTCCTGGCACTGTGTATTCTGGGGCTCTGGGCACCCCAGGGGCTACAGGCTCCAAGGAGTCTTCCAAGGTTGCCATGCCCTAGCCAGTCTGCAGAGAAGGCTCCTACACGTTGGGCAGAGAAAGGTCCTATCTGAGTGAGGAATTGCTTAAGGATTATCTGTTGAAGGGCATGCTGGTCTGTCATCCCAGCTGCTTGGGAGGTTGAAGTCAGTAGATCCAAAGATCAAGGTCTGTCTGGGCTCCAGAACAAGTTCAAGGCCAGCCTAGGCTATGTATAACAAAACTGTCTCAAAATTAATAAAAATGGCTGGAACTGGGGCACTTTGGTAGAATGCTTACCTAGCATAGTCCTCAGCTCCACCCCTCCCCACAAAAAAGATTATTTATGAAATACCTCTATGCGCCAGCTCTATTGAGTACTTTGATAAATGTCCCTGTATATCTGTGTCGTTTACCCTCAAGGCAGCTCTAGAAAGTAAAGTTTACTGACCCAGCTTTCAGACACAGGAAATAAAACAGCGTAGATGGACGTGCCTGTAAGCGCAACTATGGTCAAGGCAGGATCAGACATTGACGGTCACCCCAGCTACACAGTGGGTCTGAAGCCAGCCACTGGGCTGCATGAGAAGTCAGACGTTCTGGGGTCCCCTGGAGTCTTAGGTTTCTTGGTTCCTAACCCAGTGTCCCGAGCATGAGAAAGTACGGCTGTCGTTAACTGCCAGGGACTTGCTGGTCCTACCGTCCCATCCTGCTCAGTGCCTGTGAGTCCTTGTACAGTCTGTAACCCGTCTTCCCCCTGCAGCCGTCCTGACTTCTGCCAGACTGTGATGACCCGCAGCAGCGTGCTGGTGGTCCACCCTGTGAGTTACCTTTGTATAAAACCAGCCTCCAGCCTGCCAGTGATGCGTTGCCCTTCTGTTGTCAGTCTGGGTGGGTTGTGACTTGATCAACAGGAACAGGGCGTTGTCAAAAGGATCACATTGAGTCTACACACAGCCTGTGCTCAGGGGTCAGCGGTAAAGACCTGATACAGGAAGTGGGTGGAAAAGACGCAGTAGAACGTTGACCAACCCAGAGGTGGGTACAACAAGGGGCTAGCCTGGGTATGCTAGTGAGATTGTCTCTAAAGTCTGGGTTTTGTTTCTCTGTTTTTGAATAAAAATAAGCTGGGGCATGGTGGCACATGCCTCTAATCTCGGTGCTTGGGAAGCAGAGGCAGTGGATCTCTGAACTTAAAGCCTGCCTCATCTACATACATAGTTCCAGGACATCCAAGGCTACATAGTGAGACCTTATCTCTAAAAATAAAAGTTGTATTTGGTAGTACCAGCTTTTAAGACTTGGGAGGCACGGCACTTAGGTAGATCTCTGAGGTCAGCCTGGTCTATCTGACCATTTCTAGGGCTGGGGGTATGACTCAGTGGTAGAGTGCCTGCCTAGTGTACAGGTGGCCCTGAGTTCCATCTCCAGGACTCGGGGTGGGGGAGATAATTTCCTGATCCCAAGTCCACCCCTCCAGAGAGGGTAGTTTGAAAAGGGCACATTCAAGCATCCAAGCAAACGGATGTCAGCACGGCTTGACTGAAGATGGAGCTACCTGATCTGGATTAGGAAATTGAGTTCACAGCCAAGAAACCAGGTGCTCAGGTGGCATCTAGGCTTCAGACACAGCTAGATCTGATGGGACCTGGGACTTTGGACTCCAGTCATACCTGGCATTTTACTTGTAGTGGCACCTTCCAAGTACAGACGTGTGCTCTTAGGCATGGTCCCTCCACACCAGATCCAGAAATGGGTGTGATGGATACTGACTCTTAGTATGGATAGGTTTGTGTGTTCCTGGTTTCTCCGGCCTTCCTACCTAGGGTGGCTCACTGGCTAGAGCTGCAAATGCCAAGCACCCTGGTTCCCTTACAGCGAGGCTGTCAGAATTGTCGGGTCATCCTGTATCCCCCAGCCCCTGACTTTATTGATGAACTCCAGGGATGCAGAGGAATCGATAGCACACAACAGTAGAGCAGGACTCCAGCTTCCTACACCAACTACCTCACGTTGACTTGCTGCCCCTAGATCTCTGTTCCCTGAGCATCTCCATGACCTGAAACCAGTGCACAGGCGACCTGGAGCTAGGCCAGAGTGGAACCAGAGCTTGCCTGCTTTGTAAACAGCCTTTTCCCTGCAAATCTACCTCCCTTGGGGATCTGAGCTGGAATTTCATAGAATGAACTCGGTCCCAAAGCATGACCTGCCTGGTGGGGGGTGGGGGTGCAGGGTTTTCAGTCTGGCCTGAACTATAATTTGTCTATGTGGATAGCCTCCAGCCACATATATTCCATAAGCTCCCCTAGCCTATGGGATGCCAACCTTCCCCCATTTGCCAAATCATGTCCTGTGTTGCTGAGTCTGTACCTGGCCCCAGGCTGGGGTCAAAGCCTTGCCATGAAAATCTGTGCAGGGGACACGTGCAAGCCTGCCACTCGATAAATGTTTGTCAAACAAAAGTCTACATGACCCTGTCCCAGGCTGCTCAGAACAGTGAGGAAATGGATAAATAAAAATTGTCAGCTGGGCGGTGGTGGTGCATGCCTTTGATCCCAGTACTCCAGAAGCAGAGGCAGATGAATCTCTGTGAGTTCAAGGCCATCCTGGGCTGTGTAGTGAGTTCCAGGACGGCCGGGCTACACACAGAGAAACCCTGCCTCAGAAAAACATAAAAAGAAAAAATTTACTGAGAGCTGGGGAGATAGCTCAGTGGGTAAAGTGCTCGCTGGTCAAACCCGAGGACCTGACTTTGGGACCTCCTGCACTTCCATAAAAAAAGTCAAGCAAAAAAAAAAAAAAGTCAAGCATTACCACTCAGCCCTGTAACCCAGCCTTGGGCAGTGGATTCCTGGAACTAGCCCTCTGGCCGGTCTAACCAAAACTGTGAGCTCTAGGTTCAGTGAGAGACCCTGTTTCAAAAAAATAAGGTGAAGAGCAGTTGAAGATATCCACACATCAACCTCTGGCCTCAAGTGCCCACATTGGTGAACACACCCACAAATGTGTGCCCATACCCACATACCCCAGGTACAAAAGAGTTGGCATGGGGTTGGGGATGTAGCTCAGTGGTAGAGGACGTATCTAGAAAGCTCAGTTCCATGCCAGCACTGAAGAAGAAACATAGTATCCACCTGGTGCCTTGGTGGAGGCTTTTAATCCCAGCCATAGGGAGAATGAAGCAGGGATTCTGAGCTACATAGCCTCCCAACTCTTTCAGAAAACACCTTGACCCCTGTTCCTTCAGCCTAAGTGAAAGTTATCCTTCCCTGCACTCAAACCTCTATCCGGGCTTGCAGACATCAGTTTGCCCAGCTGGGGGCTGCAGAGAGGCAGAATCGTGCCCTGCAGTCAGCCTCTCTTCCCCAGGGCAGGCAGTGCTCTGAGGCTGCTGGAGGAAGAGGTCCCAAGCTCTGCTCCAGCCTCAGCCAGAGGGAAGCAGATCTTCCCATGGAAGCTAAGGGCTGGGCACAGGTATTACCAGCCAGAGGTGGTAATACTAGCATGGAGACAGGAGGACCCGCAGGCAAGAACGTGGATAGAAGGGAAGTGGGCCTGCTCCAGGCTCAAGCAGTGAAATTAGCCCAGTAGGAGAAGAAGCCTAGAACACGTGGTTGTGGTCACACAGGATGGTGGCAGAGCTACAGGTCTGAACTATCTCACTTAGAGTCGGGACCTCCTTCCTGTCTACAGGTACCTACTGCACACTCAGGTGGGTGGCAATGTCAGCCTAGCCACGGTGGAGCAGCCTGAGGGTGTCCCCTTAGTTGGTGAGGGATTTCCAGTCATGCAAAATCACATCCTTGACCACAAAAAAAGAATATCAGATTGAACCAATATGAAGCAGAATTTGAGATAATTCAAAAACTGTAATTTTGGGGACAGGATCTCGTGATGTAGACCTAGCTGTCCTGGAACTACTCGATATGTAGACCAGGCTGGCTTCAAAGTCAGAGACTCACCTGCCTCTGCCTCTTGTGCACTAGGATTAAAGGGGTGCACCTTCACACCTGAAGAAAAATATTTAAAGGTCAATATCTGTGGGTGTATACACGTGCATTTGAGCATCTGGAGAAGCCAGAGGGAGGTGGATCCCCTGGACTTGCAGCTGTAGGCAATGGTGAAGCCATGAGTGCTTGGAACTCTGGTCCCCTGCAAGGGCAACGCTCTTAACTGCCAAGACATGACCGCAGAGCCTGTTTTATTAAACAGAACAAACAGATTTATTAAGGAAAATTAAGAAAGCACTCCCCAGGGTGGGAGTGACCCTGAGAGAGGAGAGGAGTATCCAGCTTTTTTTTTTTTGAAGACAGGGTCTCACTAGTTAGCACCAGCTAGCCTGGAGCTCACTGTGTAGCTCAGACTGGACTTGAACTCATAGATACATAGATACCCACCTGTCTCCCCCAAGTGCTAGAATTAAAGGCGTGCACCACCACTGCCCAGCCCAGATCCTGATGACTTTTTTTATATTTATTTATTTATTTATTATGTATACAATATTCTGTCTACGTGCATGCCTGAAGAGGGCACCAGGCCTCATTACAGATGGTTGTGAGCCACCATGTGGTTGCTGGGAATTGAACTCAGGACCTTTGGAAGAGCAGGCAATGCTCTTAACTGCTGAGCCATCTCTCCAGCCCCCCCCCCCGATGACATTTTGAACATAAATCTTTTTCTTCCTTCCTTTCTTTCTTCTTTCTTTTTCTTTTCTTTCTTGTTTTTTTTTTTGTTTTTTGTTTGTTTGTTTGTTTGTTTTTGTTTTTGTTTTGTTTCGTTTTTGAGGCAGGGTCTCCTGTATCCCAGGCTGGCTTTGAACTCACTATGTACCTGAGAATGACTTTGAATTCTGAGTCTCCTGCCTCTATATTTTGAGTATTGGGATTTCCTGCTTGTGCCACCATGCCCAGTTTGTGCAGGACTGGGGATGGAAGTCATGGCTTTGTGCATGCGGGGTAAAGACTGCCCACTCAGCTACAGCCACAGCCCTTTTAAAACAGGTGTGAACCACTCGGTTAATAGAAAGAAAGGTACCTGGGTAAAGTATAAGGTATGCTGGGTCAGGTGAGTGTCGGCGTTTTAAATGGCCTTTTCCACCGTTTAGATTGTAGAGTTGCTCCTGAGGTACCATGGTGAGAGTACAGTCTGGTTTGTTTGTTGTTGTTGTTGTTTGTTTGTTTGTTTGTTTGTTTGTTTTCCGAGACAGGGTTTCTCTGTAGCTTTGGAGCCTGTCCTGGAGCTAGCTCTTATAGACCAGGCTGGTCTCAAACTCACAGAGATCCACCTGCCTCTGTCTCCTGAGTGCTGGGATTAAAGGCATGTGGCACTGCAGCCCAGCGGAGAGTACAGTCTGATTAAGATAAAAACAGTCTTTGTGGTGCACGTCCTTAATCCCAACACTTGGGAGGCAGAGGAGGCAGATCTCTGTAAATTGGATCTGGCTGGTCTACATAGGGAGGTCCAGGCCAGCCAGAGCTACACAGTTAGACTTCATAGCAAAAAAAAAGAAAAAAGAAAAAAGAAAAAAGAAAGAAAAGAAAAAAAGAAATAAAGAAAAAAAGAAAAGGAAAGGAAAAGGAAAGAAAAGATAAAATCTAGGGGGTATGGGCTAGGAGATGACTTTTACCATAGATGGAATTTTTGCAAAATTGCAAGTTTACATTTGGGAAGGAAGAGGTCTCATGTAGCCCAGTCTGGCCTCAAACTATGTAACTGAGTCAAGAATTACCTTGAATTTCTGCTCCTCCTGCCTCCACCTCCTGAGAACCAGGATTTCAAGCATGCCCACCAGTTTCAGTTTACATGACTACAGAGATTGAAGCCAGGGCCTGCTGCACGCTAGGCAGACATTTACCACCTG